TGTGAGGTTAGGAATATTGCTTTTATTATTGTTGATATAGAATATAATATGGCATCATTAAACACTGAGATAAGTATTGATTCTATCACACTTGCCTAGGTGTTCCTTTAAAGGAGGCATAACTGACATGCAGTTGTCTGAAATTATAGATGCTTATAAGTGTATGCCTGATGACTGATCAATCAATGTAACAGAGTCTCATTGGCTTTACACTATGCCTGAAAGTTTCATTCTGTGCAGTTTTATTTGAGATTACCTTATGTCTGACTATTCTTTGCTTTAGCATCATAAGTTCTAAGATAAAGATAGGAGTGTTGGGAAATTACCTCAGTTACCAATGCTGGGATAACCAGTGTGTCAGGTTTGACAGGCTGTCAGCTTTTAAATATATTTATTGAATGATTGCCCATAATACTTGCATGCCAAGCTGAAGTCTGATACTTTTTTAATAAATGATGGAATGTCAAGTGTGAGTGTCATAAGTGCCATATCATAAATGCCATGTGATAAATGTCAGTGTCCTAAGCATCATAGCAACATCAAGGATGCTTAGGGTGGTCATTTTCAATGTTTTACTGTAGCGTGAAACTCGAGGTGACAAGGTGTTTGGTGAGATAGCAGATAGAAGAGGGCGAACTAAATTGTACAGATTTTTGTTGGGGGGACAAGGCCATGGTGTGGGCTCATTTCCCCTTACTAGGATATCTAAACAGATTGCATATTATTAGATGTTTGACTAGCCAGTCTCATAGCATGTCCAGCACTGGGGAAAAACATCTGATTATAATATCCTGTCTTGCCATTTGTGTCAGATGCATGTGTGGATCACAGGTGAAATTTTTGCGTAGACATGCCGATGCCATTGATCTCATTTTGAATAATATTTTCCTGGTTAATGAAAGGATTGAGAGCAAGGATAGTAATGCAGAGGGAAAAGATGTTTTGACTTTGGTTTTATCTGATGTCTGTACATGTACATGATGTTTCTGGCTGTTAGCTATCAGGCTTTGCCCAGATATCATTGAAACCTAGGACTCCGTTTAAGCTTTCAGTCATGTGCGTGTGTCAGGCTAAATTTCTTCTTGGATTTACTGTGATTTGAATTGGGATCCTCTGACTTCGAGTCCAGCGTTATACCAGCTGAGTTACCCAGGAGGGATATTCCTGGCATTTCTCTCAGTTATTTGTCCAGCAGGAGTTTGTGTTGACCCTGTGAAGTACTTGAGAATGTCTGGCATATTGTGTTCTACAAATGCTAGCCTCAGAACTATCATGTTCTACAAATGCCTGCCTCAGAACTTTCTGCTAGCTTTTAGCTTGGCCCAAAATCTTGTGATTGGTAAGAGAATGTCTGGCATATTGTGTTCTACAAAT